GAAAAGGGTGGCTTGTTCCCTTCAGGTTGGTGGAGAGTTCCTGCCTCAAGTGGAGGAGTTCAAGTATCTTGGGGTCTTGTTCACAAGTGAGGGAAGGATAGAACGGGAGATTGACAGGCGGATCGGTGCAGCTTCTGCAGTAATGCGGTCGATGCACCGGTCAGTCGTGGTAAAGAAGGAGCTGAGCTGTAAGGCGAAGCTCTCGATTTACTGGTCAATCTACGTTCCGACTCTCACCTATGGTCATGAGCTTTGGGTCATGACCGAAAGGGCAAGATCCCGGATACAGGCGTCCGAAATGAGCTTCCTCCGCAGGGCGGCCGGGCGCACCCTTAGAGATAGGGTGAGGAGCTCAGTCACCCGGGAGGAGCTCAGAGTAGAACCACTGCTCCTCCACATCGAGAGGAGCCAGCTGAGGTGGCTGGGGCATCTGTTGCGGATACCTCCTGGGCGCCTTCCTAGGGAGGTGTTCCGGGCATGTCCCAGCAGGAGGAGGCCCCGGGGAAGACCCAGGACACGCGGGAGGGACTATGTCTCTCGGCTGGCCTGGGAACGCCTCAGCATTCCCCCGGAGGATCTGGAGGAAGTGTCTGGAGAGAGGGAGGTCTGGGCATCTTTGCTTAGACTGCTGCCCCCGCGACCCGGCCCCGGATAAGCGGAAGAAAATGGATGGATGGACAAAGCCGCCATAAAAAGGATTAAACAGCCTCCACTGTCACAACAATCCCACTTTGGGACTGGATATAAATACATTTTATAACTAGCATAGGGCTACTGCTCACAGCAAGCAAGAGACAGAATTTAACTTGAAAATGAAGTAGAATGTACTGCAACCCTAAGTCCTTTCTTGGAGCAAACTAAACGTAGTGCTTCTTAAGGATTTTAAAGACTTGCAGACAACCTGACATCCTGTGTCTGGGTACCGTGACAATAATGGTTCCTTACCCAGGTGTTGATGGTCTTTCTCTCTCGACTCCCACACTTTGGTGTCTGTGTATGCTGCTGAGAGCAACCATCTTCTACTTCTAGCTGCAAGGACAAAAAGTCAACCAGGTCATATAAATTAAATTATTACATGTATGTTAATCGCCTGTTTATTAGCTGGCAAACGTACTGAGAGAGCGTAACGACAACGAACGGTTTGATAAAACATGATAAGTTTTACAGGTAACACACTTAACGTTAGCTAATAGCATGACCTGACATTTAGCTCCTCCTGTCTAAATATCCAAAGAGTAAGGACACTGTGCCTCAATAAAATAAAGCCTAAAGAACTGCAATCAATCAAACCACACTATAATTTTCTCATAGGGAAATATAACATGTAACGACCTGAAAAAGACGGAGATAAACATTTAATTTTTACAGCTGTAGTCACACATCGCTTCAATACGGAGGCTGCCATCTTTGGACGATACCATCTCTTACCTAAAACAGGGGGTTGGATTTTTCTGGCGTTCCCTCAAACGGACCTGAGTGGGCCATACCAACAGCGAGACCTGGTAAACAAACAAAAATCCTGTCACTTCTGAAATATTCTTTTGTGCAGAAAACGTTTGCTAACGATTCGCGAATACTGTTATAAAGCCACAGTAAAGAGGTCAGTTCTACAGTTTTCACAATAAAGACCCATAAAACTTGGTGCAAATTTTAAAGGAGCCAGGGAGTCCATTAGACAAATCGTTTAAATTAATTGTAATTTTTAAAAGCTATTTTTAGTTCATTTTTTTAGCTTCCAGCCCACAAACAAACTGGTGGCCTACAACATCTCATGAAATACATAGTTTTTCACAGTAATAATAATTACACTGAATATTTAAGTGCAAAGTGATAAAACCAAATATTTCCTTTTCTAAATAAAAATGTCATAGTGTATATGAACCCTACATTTTAAATGCATCCTTAAAGGATACATTTGATGTGCAATCTTTAAAATATAAGTATTTGTTATATATTTTTAGGCCTATCTTTATCAAGCCATGTTCTTGGACAACACTGTACTAAAATTGGTTGGCATCAGTAGAAAAGGCTGGGGTAAATAAAAGTGACTGTGTTGTAACATTGTGCCTAAACATTAGGACAAATCTCAATTATAAAACTGTTTTAATAGCTTATAAAGAATGAAGAGCAGCAAACTTGAGCAAGACCAATGTTTTGACGATAGAGGGCACTGTTTATATAAGGAGGATAAAAACCATATAAAAACTCAACAGTGAAGTAGAAACGCATGCTCATGAGTTTGCTCTCTGATGCTGTATAAAGGTTACAGAAGGTCTTAGTTACTCAGCATCATGGATGACTAATACCTCCTGATGGTTGTGAGGAAGTTAGATTATTCTAGTCATGTTTAAAATATTAGACAATAAACTAGACAATACAAAGGATGACTGTACCCTAAATATGAAAAAAAGGTCTAAATGTGTATGCAGTTGTCTGCTGAGCCATTGTTCTCTGCCACCTCTCTGCTAGTGAGCCAGTGTTTTTGTTTTCCATACAGGAGAACATCCCTCTGCTAAAATTACAGGGAGCTTCTTGGCTCTCTGGGTCAGAGGAGGGGACAGGTTGAGTCTGGGGTGGGACAGTTTAGTTAAACAAAGCATGGAAGAATTTTTGCACAGTCTCGTTTTTGCACTGACCAGCAAAACAGGAAGCTCTTACCTGAGCTGGACTAGAGAGAACAGAAATACACATTGTAAAACACACAAACCAGGAGCTATCTTTTTTAGCAATATACCATGAATTGAAACCAAAAATGTTTATGCTTTTCTATTGTTGGGATTTTTTTTCCCCTACTGTGTCCTTTTGTTACCATTTTATAAAATGTCATATGTCAAGAAGCAATACTAAATGTACAAAGTTTTCATTGGAAAGCCTATCTCAGACTGGCTACCATTCAGTTCTGCTCATCTTAAAAGGTGTTTGTGTATGTGATTTAGTGATGTGGAGTATTTGTTTTCAGAATCTCTGTTACAGGCATCTCTTGTCTGCTTCCTTTTTATTTCACAGCAGTAGTGTTTTATAGAACAATGGTGAACAAATAGGTAAGTGAGACATAAAGGCATGTGACACAAAAGCTTGTAAATCCTTCGTGACAAGTAATTTTAGTGGGTTTTCAGTAGGAAGAACATACTGTATCTATACTGATTGCCTATGAATATACATGATTGTTTGCTGAAGACTTCATGCTTCGGTGTAACATATAACATATCATTCAATCAAATCAAGAACAGTGTTATACTGGCTATTATACTGATTTTGAGTTTTATTTATCTACACAAGTAAGAGCTTATTTATCATGTCTACCCTGATAGTACGAAACACAATAGAATGACAAAGATACACATACATGTGTGCAGAATCTGTGTTGCTGTTTTCTGCTATTCAAAAAATAAAAATAGATTTTCTGTTTTTCATATTCAGTAAACTGAATATCTCTGAGTTTTAGACTGTTGGTTGAACAAAAGAAGACATTTAAAAACATTTTAGGGCAGGGGTGCCCAAAGTGGGGCCCGCGGGCCAAAAGTGGCCCGCGGGGACATTTCTTGGCCCCCCACAATTTATTATGCCACCCCAGTTGTCAGGTCAAGCAGCTCCCAGCTCAGCCGGCA